ATGTGTGTATATATATATATATATATATATATATATACATTTACAGGAACTCCTTTTTTTGAATATTTTGCACTTTTTTCCCCATTTTTGAAAGATTTAGCTCCTTTCTTAGTGGGGGAGTTATATTTCTGTGTAAACTGACCCTGAAAATGGCTTCACAGGTACGATGGCGTTTTATTATCTGTAAAATTACAGCTTACTGTATTTAAATCTGCTTCAAAAAAAGAAACATTTTACTGATATTTGCTCTTTTTTTAAAAAACAATTTTTAATGCTACGGTACTTCAGTATTTTTTTTTTTACTGCTTTTTAAAATAAATAAAATTGAATAAATTAAATAAAAATGTATAATATGCCATTCATGTTAACTTTTTATTTTTTTATTTTTGTTTTTTTACAGTGGGTACAACACCTGAATCAGGTTTACAGCAGGTTTTTAAAAAATCACATAAATCCCAGGGTTGTTTTTTTTTTTGGCACAACCTGCCTGAGAAAAAAAAGAAAAGATCCAACTTTTTTAAAATAATGTTATTTTTAAAAATTAGTCTCGTAATAAACTGTGATCATCTGTGCGGTAGACGTGAAGCCACCTGTCCTAGTTTGCAGGTATTTTCCCACACAGGTCGCCGTCACCGTGTTTGCTTCCTCGCGCGCTGCCGCCGCCGCGGCCTCAGGTGTGCCGGTGACATCATCTCTGACCGGAATGCGAACATGTGACTCCGCTGTTCTCCCGCTGCGCGTTCTGCTGAGTCAAGACGAGGAAAAACCCAACTTCCTCCAGAGTCGAGCTCACACACGGCTCCAGGTCGCCTCATCGGCCTGAACAGCGGAGCGGCGACACGCGGCGGGAGGCTTTTAACGCGCAGGTAAGTTCGGTTCTGTCGGCTTTCAGGCTCAGACCGCAAAACTAGAAACCGAGAATCCGAGTTTCTCTGATGTTTGAGCGATCTAAGCAGCGCCGGACTTTTCTGCTCCTTCATGTCTCAGGTCTCCTTTTCTGGAGTTTCACACTCAGGTGACTGGTTTCCGTGAAAAGCTTCAGAAAGTTAAAGTTCAGCAGCAGGAACTCTTCAGACGGTTTAAAACCACTGATTCACTCAAGTGTTAGAATTTACTGCGTTTCTCTGTTTAAGGTGAATTTTCTCACTTCTGGCTGCAGGAAGCTGTGATTTAAAAACGACTTTGTGCCGTTTTGATGTTCAGTTACTTTAAAATAATGAAGGTGTGGAAGGAGTCAGTCCTGAAAAAACATCCCAGTCTTTATGTGCAGCTGTAGAAACGGACTTTAATGCGACTTGATGGGTAAAATAAAGACAGAAGAAAGAAATCAGTTCACACAGATTGCTTTAAAAACAGCAAACCAACTCAAATAACTGCAGTTTCTGGTCACATGAGGTGAAGAAAACCAGCAAATATCCACATCAGGACCCTGAGCAGCAGCTGGTCGCACACATTTCTGCTGAAAAATGAATATGCACTTTGTTATTTCACTTTGTCTGTTTAATTTGATGCTACTGCTTTGAAATCTTGTACTTTTTAAACTTCTTTTTTGCATTTATCTACCCGGTGCTCTGCAGATGAAGGTTTTAAAAACACACAGTGAGCGCTGGGCGTCGGTATGGAGTCTAAAATGTTGACTATAAATAGTTAAAAACCCAAAGAAATCCAATTTATTGTCATTAAAGGTAAAGAAAAGCAACAAATATTCACTTTAGGAGCCTGAAAACAACCTGGTGCTGCTTTAGAAATAAACCAAACAGCTTATTGATTGATTTTCTCTGGTTAATTGTCACTGTATTTAAATCCTCTGACGGCTGCAGTCACTTGTTTCTTTGCTCATGAGGATGTTAGGAAGCTGAAATGAGCACCAGTCGTTGTGAAATACAGTAAATTAGGAGGAAAATCAGCTTTACTGCTCGTTAAAGTCCAACATTTTCACACTGTTTGCATACTAGTGCATCTGTGGTGATAACTTAAAGGTAAAACTGTAGAAATGTGACACCAGCAGAACAGTTTAGCTGCAAAGTCACACTTTTTCTACTTTGCTGCAGTCCAGTATTTGTAAATGTTGGCGTCGCTGCTTTTAGTCGATGGATCAGTGAATGAATGCAGGTTTCAGGTTTTCAGTCTTGTGGGTTTTTCCAGAAGCTGTTCACAGCATGAGCGCTGCAGCGACCGACCGGACATGAACGCTGATCCAACCGTGCAGCCGTGGACTCGAACCTCTCTGATCCCCTCCGACTCCCCTGGATGGGTGTTCCCTCCACAGTTCCTCCGCCCCCCCTGTGAGAGCATGTTCCCCGGAGACCCCGACCCGGTCTCGGCCCAGCTGGACTTCTTCCACAAGCTGGGCTACTCCACGGCTCAGGTCCGGGCCGTGCAGCGGAAGTTCGGCCCCAGCACCGACACGGACAAGGTCCTGGGGCAGCTGGTGCAGGTCGGCGCGGGTCGGGAGGAGGACCAGCAGAAGCAGCAGGGCCCGGTGACCACGGTGTCGGTTCTGGTGTCCAGAGGGGACGGGCCGGCCGGAGGCGCCGCTCTGCTGCTGCCGGTCAGCGAGGGCGGCGGCGAGGACGAGGACGCTCTGAGGCCGGTGGTCATCGATGGCAGCAACGTGGCCATGAGGTGAGAACCAGCCGCAGGACGGTCCAGAACTCACTGGTTCTAGACGTGAGAATGAGCTGCTTTGGGCACGATCTGAGCATAAACTCCAGAACCAAGGCGACAAAACATAAAGATGAGCGGATTTTCTGAAGTCTTGAGCTGCAACAACTAATCAGAATTTGATCCAGTCGTTGATCAGATTCGACTTCAGCTTCTCAAACGAGAATATTTTCTGTAAAAGTCAGTTTAAAGCTTTAAGATGTGAACTTTTCTATTTATTTTGTTTTATTAGCAACTGTTATCAGTGTTTTCTCTTCAGTTAAGTCACTTTTTCAAGCACAAATTCCAACATTTCTCCTGCTGTCGTCACCAAACATCAGGATCAGTAGATTTTCTCCTTTGTGAGCTACAACAATTAATCAATTAACCAGAAATCCAGCAGTTAATATTGATTCTAGTCATTCAGCGTTCTATTCCAGCCTCTCAGAATGATTTTCTGTTCTTCTCATATGACATTAGTCTATATTTGGAACTCAGGTAATCGTTAGTCAATCCTTCAAGCTGCTTTTCTGTATTTTTTTCCACTTTAATCACAACCTGATACGAATTCTGGACATTTTTCGAAGCACAAAGTCCAAAAATCCAAAATTCAAGAGTCAGAAAATAAGTATCAGCTGATTATTTTTTATTTTAAACAGTTTAGAGCTGCAACAATTAATCGACTCATCAACATTTGATCCTCTAGTAGCTGTTATATTAGATATTTGCTGTAAAATTCACAGTTTAAAGCTTTAAGATATGAAGAAAAGCTGCTTTTCCGTTTCTGAACAACTGTAGTTGTTATTTGGTTCTCAGTTCAGTCATTTTTCAAGCACAAACTCCAACATTAAGGAGTCAGATCATAACAATACACTGCTTCTGTCTGTTTTCTACAGAACAGAGTCAGTTCACCTGAATGACGTCATCTAGTCGCTGCTTTAGTTGCTCAGCCTTCGACTGACTGACTGAAGCTTCGATTGTTGTTTGAGCCGCTTTTCCAAAATTAAATCATCAGAAAACAGAGATGAGCTGATTCTTCTCAGCTTTACATGTTTTTAATCATCATCAGACTTTTTTTTTTACGAGCATAAAATTCACGTGTTCACTGCTTTTCTTTTGTTTAAACGGTTCAGAGCTGCAAACATCAGTCTGTGCATTAACATCTAATCCTCCAATTGTTGTCGTTTAACGTTCTGCTTTAGCTCCTCAGATGTGAACTTATGCTGCTGATCTCTGCATTTGACACTCAAGGAATGATTGAGTGAAGTTTATGGTGAAAGTGTTGGAACATAAGGCTGCAACTATCAATCAGTTCATCAACATTTGATCATCTAATAGCTGCTCAAGTCATTTTTTAGCTAAAAATCCCAAACACTTACAACCTCAGCAACGTAAACGTGAATATTTTTTGCTTTTTTTCTGTGTCATAAGTGAAACTGAACTGGAGACTTGGACTGTTGTTCAGACTTTTTAGTTTCTGATGCTTTATAGTTGAAAAACTCCAACACTCTGCAGATGAACAGGGAATAGAACAACAGCTGTGAGGTGTTGTCCTCATAAAAACCTTCCTTCTGCTCTAACTTGTCCACGCCCGCTGTTCCTAGAAAACAGATAAAGCTCTGACAAGTTAAGCCCTTTTGATTACTGAGCCTCATTAAAGGAATCCAAGTGTAAGAACCAACGTGAGGAGTCTGCCGACACGTAGCCTCACCTCAGCTCACCTGGTGATTCACTCCGAGGGCTGCAGAAGCTCTCCTCCGAGCTGACAGCAGAAATGCCTCGTTGCCGGCGGCGATCCCATAATAGTGTTTTTTAATCGCAGCTGTTAGGAGAAGAATGTTTTCTACACCAAGAGATTAATATTCTGACTTCTGTCTGAGGAGAACAACAGGTTTTTTTTAGTATTTTTTTCTTGCTAGAGTTGCCAGAGTTTTTAAACAGAAAATCTTAATTAAACCACACGTTGTCAGTAACATCCAGGAATAAAAACGAGCGCAGCAGCCTCGTGTGTTCAACTGTTACAGAGTGAACGTAAGAATACGATCGGTCGTCGCTGCCAAGCCGCTTCAGTTGCTCGATTTTACCTGCCGTGGCTTCTTCCTCTTCCTGAAAATTAAATTCATGTTGACGGGTGGCTAGTTTGGCCCCGTTTAAGAGATTCAGAGCAGAAGGTGCTTCATGTATGTAAACAGCAAGACTTCCAGGACGTATTCAAAGTGTTGCAGGAGCGCTGGGAGCAGAGCGTCGCTGCACACCCAGGCTGGTCTGATGATTTAAACATGGTACAGTTGAAAACTTTCTCTGGGAGAATATTCAAATGACCTGAACTGTGCTGCGACAGTATTCCAGTGTTTGGAAGTTTGTTTGTTTTGTCGTTGGTCAAAACAACACAATCGTTCACCCTCGTCACGATGTTCGACTCCCTGTGCCTGCTTCTTCTTCCCCAAGATGAAATCCAAGATGAGAGGTCGCTGTTTGGACACAGTTCAGGAGATTCACAGCAAACGGCGCTCACCA